ACTCTCGCCCAGCCTTATAGGGGCCCCCCTTTAGGGAAAAGACTACAAAACTCGGTTCATAGATGAATATGAAGAATTGGAAACCAGCAAATCGCCCATTTCTCAAAGTTGGACACATACCCAGACATCAGAAAGTCTAGAAAACCAACACAGCCATTCAGCAACCATGACACACGTCTGTGAGGCCTGGCCCTTGGCTGTTGGGCTGTGCACTCTGATCGCCCTTTGCAGGGAAAACCATTTCCTGACCCGGTGTAAGAACAGAAAGACTCCTCAATCTTTCCTCTGGCACGGTTGATCGAACTTTGAATTACTGATACTTTAGAAAAGTTTCTTTGATCTTCGCAACTCAACTGGCACGAACCTAAGTTTTTAGAACTGTTGTCAAATGCGGGGAAACCATGATCAGGTTTCCTGACGAGCCGTGTGAGCTGTAGGATTCCAGGCCAAGTCAAGAATTCCCAGATTAATCTTTAACCCACTTTGCACTGCACAAGGAATGGTGCATTTACAGTTGGACGTGGCTGCCTGGCCCAGCCTACTCCTCGAACAGGAGCAAACTTCCATCTTGAGCAGGCATGAGTGAGAAGCAAATCTTCCCCTTTTAAGTTTATACATCCGACGACTGGAAGAACATTCTGCAGACGGGCTTCTGGCTCCGCACATTTCGGGTCTCCCCTCCATGGCTCCCATCGTTCAAGTCACAACACGGTGATCAGCGTGGCGGGCAGCAAGGAGTCTTCCTGGAAGGTGTCCCCACCGCCGGGACGACCACCAATAACCCACTCAGCACCGACGTGACAGCGCACCACACAAGTATACCCCACTCCCTCCAAACTAGGTCCCCAACTCCACTTCATTTTGGCCAAACCCCCCAAATGCCCATGTCACCTCAGCACCACCCAACAGAAGAGGAAGTGTGAGGGAGGCGACGCTCGAATGGAACAGGGACCAGGTCTAACCAGCTGCCGTTCAAGTATCTCACTCTTGCCAATTTTATGAAAGCGCGGCAGAGGCGAACCCACTGCCAAGGCCCACTGCAGGGGCTTCGAGGGGGTCGTGGTGAGTGAGGGGCCTCGAGCTAAACACTGCGTTTCCCTGGAAGTGCCCCTCAGGTGGCCGTCGAACCTTTCCTACTCCCCACCCCAGCTCCCGGCGCCCTGAGGGGCCAAGTCCCAGCTGCCTGCCTGCGCCCCCCGCGTCTTCCCGGGCGCCGCGCCGAATCGCCCCCTCCCTCCACCACCGCGCAGCCCTCCTCCTGCCAAGGGGCGCTCCGTCAGCATCAGACCAGGATCTCCCTCCTGCCCCCGCAGCCCTCCCACTTGTGCCCCCTTCTCTGCATTTCGTGCAGCGAAACTCGAGCCCTGCTTTCCGCGGCCTCCCACCCGTGGCCAGGCTCTGGCCGCGGGGTCCCCAAGCAGCCCCTCTGTGGGCGACAGCGACGACTCCTGGACACTCGTCAGGACTCCATGCTCTCTTGGTCTCCTCCTTCTGCTGGCAGCTTCTTCTCGTCCCCCCGGGCCTCGTAACACTGGGATGCCCCTGGCCGGCACAGCCCGGTCGGCCTCCCCTCCTCCCTCTAGACTCCCTCCTCCCGCAGTGACTGGTGACCGCAGCCAGGCTGGGGCTTGTGTGCATGGCTGTGTACTGACGCCTTAAAAAGGCTCATCTCTGGCCCTGGGTCGTGTGTCTCCTCCACCTTCCCCCCCCCCCCCCCCCCCCCTCCCGATGTGTAGCCCACGCCTCAGCTTAGTCTGTTGTGATCTACCCCCCGCCCTCAACATGTTCCCACCAGGGTCCGGCATGGATGGCACCGCCATCCTTCCATCAGGACAAAGCTAGCAAGTCACCTACAGCTCCTCTCGCTCAACCCTGGCCCCTCTGTCACCAGTTCCTGCTGTCACTACCTTCAGCCTGAGTCCAGACTGACTTCTCGACGCCAGCCCGTCTCCCTGAGCCCTGCACCACCACCATCTACTGCCTGTTCTATTAAGCGGCCTCCCTGGCCTCCCGCCTCCTCCCTTGCAGGCCATCCTCCTCTAACACCCACGGCTCTAGCCCCGGATGGTCCCCATCTCGGAGAAGAGCCCCCAGGCCCTGCCCTTAACCACCTCCCCCACCCATTTTGTATCACACATTTATTCCCTTTTGTCCCCTGCCCCGCCACAGCAGACAGTATTTTTGGTCACCACGGTATCCCCAGCGCCTGGATCGGTGCCAAGCATGTTCCAGGTGCTGAATGAGGGCCCCCACGGCCAGGCCTGTGGGCTGGAAAGGCCCCTGACATACAAGGCGTGCACCAGAAGCTTCTGTCTTTGGGATCTGTGTCCTGGTGACTTCCCCTTTTGGGCATTGTGTCACATACAGTAGATCCCTGCCCTCCTAGTCTGGGACCCTCTGCCCCAGACCTCCTTCTGCGGTCTAGGGGGCCTGGGGCCACAGTTCCCCCTAACCCGGGTGTCAGCTGATTCTCACAGCTGACCCTGTGGCCTCCCTGCCCAAAGCCTTCCACAGCCCTGGCCCCCCATCAAATCCACACTCCTCCCCGCAAGAGCTCAGGCTCTTCTCAGCCCCGAGAGGAGAAGAGTACAGGGCTGCCTGACGAAGGTGGGGTGAGGGAGTGGAGCTCTAGGAACCAGTAGCCCAGCCTGGCCTCCCAAGTCTGTGGACCCAACAAGGTGTCACGCATGAACCCATTACCCACATGCATGAAACCGGAGTCCCCAGGTTTCTGGGGAGCCTCTCACTTGCCAACAGCTTAATTGCTCAAACCTAAGAGACCAGCCCCCAAGGCCCGGTGGCCGCATGTCAGCCCAGGGGCTGAGTGCCCCTTCCCAGCCTGGCCCTCTCCTGCACGTCCTGAGAGCGAGCTTATCAGTTTTGTCAGCTGTTTGCTGAAGCCCCCCCATGTCCCCACCCCCTTGCTCCTGGCTTGCTATCCAGTCATTGATCGGAAACACCTTTATATGTAAACCTGGGGAACAGGATGTAGGTCAAGGGAAATGAATCTGCTGGGTATTTTGGGTTATGGGTCACTAGAACACACGAGAGAGGTCCACACTGGAAGCTCCCGGCTGGCCTGGCCAGAATTAACCCCCCGAGTTTTCCTCAAGTGCCCAGCACACAGGAGGTGCTCAATGAAGTGGGGTAACTTGTCCCAGGGTGTCGTGATTATGGTAAAAAGAAGTCCTGCATCGTGTGTTGTGATGCACCAGCCACCTGCATCTTCCAAAACACCTCTGGCCAGGAAACCTGTATTCCACTCTGCATCACTAGGGCCCTGAGCTCTTGAAGTCCTGACAGCCTGAGAGAATTGGTCCCTTCTGTCAGTTTTTAAACTTTAAAAAAAATTGTTACACATGCGTATAGTTGTAGTAGTAATAAGGCTCACCGCATTCCCGTCCTCCACCCCCAAAGAAAACCACTGAACTTTTAGCTTTTTCCTCTGCATTTACCTCTACATTTCTAGGTAACACATGCTTCTATTGCGCTCTTGAATTTTCAGTTTTATGCATTATCTGCTGACTTGGACGATAAGAACTTAGCCCCATTATACGCTGCACATACTTTCCCTGTCTCCTTAGAGTTCTGTCATCAATTTTTGCCAGAGCAACATGCATCATTATTTGTATGTTTATTATTTGTACGCAATCACAGCTGTCACGTATGGTCCGTGGTTCTTCTTCCTTAATATTTTTTGTGTGGCATTAATAAACGGTGTATTTTTACTTAATTTTCTCTGTCAGACTCCTGCCCCATCCCTGGGACAGAAGCGTGGATCAAGGGTGGAGCCCGCAGCTCTGTCAGACGGCAGGCGGGCCTCACCCCTGGCTGCCCGCCACTCCCCTGGATTTCCAGGCCTCTACGTTTGTCTCTGCTTACTCCTCTTTTCCTGGAGCCCTCCCTCGGGCAGCTTTGAGAATGGCTGCAAAGGAGGAAATTTCTGAGGCCGCTGCAGACCTTTCCTGGGCGTCTCTGCTGCTCTGGCGCCTGCTGGGGTGCCCCCTCTCTGTAGGCCCCTTTGAAGCAAGCTGCACGCCTCCCCCCCCACTCACCCCAGGAAGCCCTGTTCCTCGCTGCCGCTTCTTCCCACCGCCCTCTCTTCTTGCCCTGGCCCCTGCTGGTGCAAACAAAGCCTCCCAGATCAGCAGGAGGGACAAGGGGGCGCACGGCCAGGCACGGCGTGTTCCAAGGCCACCAGACTCCTGTGCTCTCTCTCCCCACTTCTGATTTCCTCGAGGAGTTTTCATCATCTTCAATGACGACTGTGTGGTCAACACTGTGCCTTAAAGGTGGTGAGGAGAGACACTACAACTCCCCAAATGTTTTTATTTTTTAAATTTTTTTTAAGATTTTATTTATTTATTTGAGAGAGAGAATGAGAGAGAAAGAGAGCACATGAGAGGAGGGAGGGTCAGAGGAAGAAGCAGACTCCCCGCTGAGCGGGGAGCCCGATGCGGGACTTGATCCTGGAACTCCAGGATCATGACCTGAGCCGAAGGCAGTCGCTTAACCAACTGAGCCACCCAGGCGCCCTCCCCAAATGTTTTTAAACACCTTAAGGCGTACGAAGTGCCTCCTCTACACCAGAGTTCACACAGCACATCCGTCATGCTGCTCCTCCCTCCAGATGCTGCCCCTCCCAGACCCCAGACCCCAGGACCCAGGCACGCCCAACCCACACACCACAGAGGAGCCCTCAGGGCTGGTGCCCATTTCTCCCCCCCCACCCAACATGTAACCTCCTCGCTGCCGGCAAAGGCCTGGCCCAACAGACACACCTTCACCCAGGGCCAGGCCCCACGGCCTCCCAAGGCATGACCTCCCACAGAAACAAGGGGGGCAGCTTTGAGCCCAGAGCAGGGACGGGCACTCTCCACACACAAGAGCCACCTGCTCCCCCACCTCGTCCAAGTCCTGGCCAGGGAGACAGTCCACCATTTTTCTGGCTATACAGGTAGCACTTAGGAGAACTGGCAAAACAGAGAAATCCAAACTTTCATACGATTGGTTTAATTTTTTTTTCAGCAGGAGAAAAAAGAATAAAGTTACAAGAGTCTTTTAATATTTTCACAATGTTAAAACTAAAACTGAGCTCTAGGCTATGTGTGTAAGTAAATCTAAAACACAAAAGGGTTAAATAAGATCTTCTCTTTTAAAGATACAAGAATTTAAGCTTTCCTTACATTTAACAAACTTCACAGAACAGATACTGCAGGGGACAAGCCCTCCCCCCACCCCCAGCTCTACCACCAGGAAGTGAACATGGGCTGGAGCCCTGTGTGCCCCTGGGCTCCCCAGAGAGCCTGCTTCCCATCCCTGCCTCGAGGCAGCAGCGGTGGGGCCTGAGGAGGGCTGGAAGGGCGCGTGGGGGAGGGGGGCCTCTTCGGGATCAGAGCTTGGCGGGGGGCCTAGGTGGGCCGCCTCACTGAGGATGGCCATGTACTGGCCAGAGGGCCGTGGCTTGACAACAGTGGTAAACGCGGGCAGACCTGGCCCCTCTGCCCTGGGCTGCCCTAGAGCAAGACACCGGTCTGGGTCCTGAAGCAAGAATAAGGCTGGAGATTTTGCAGCGGATTCCACTCTGGTGGGGGTGGGATGGGAGGAAGAGGTTGGGAAGAGCATGATTTCCTATTTTAGTATTCCGGATCAAAAAACATTTGTAGCTGCAGGTGTTTGGCTGTGAATTACAGACAGTCGAACTATTGGTCGTGGTATAAAAGGGACAGTTTGCTGGGTTAAACTATTCCAGTAGCCTGTGTGTGGGCAGATCCAAACCGCCTCGGCAGGAGCCTCCGACTCTCACCAGCCTGGACCATGCGGGGTCTCTGGCCCACTCAACCCTGTTCAGGCTCCCCAGGGAATCTTAATCCTGTCTCCCCTCCCCGCCCCCACCTGATCAGTGAGGATTCCCTAACGTGGGCCAACAGGCCCATATCCACTCTCCCCACCCGGCCTGAGCTACCATGGCTACCAACTCCTCTCTGCCCGCAGGAAGCGGCACAGGCTGAGAAATGTGCCCTCCCACCCCCACTGCCAGAGCCAAGGTCTTTCTCGGAGCTGGGCCACGGCCACAAACCACTGTTCTAGACAGATCCCCCCGCTGCCCCTGGGACGCAGGCCGCCTCGCCCTCCCAGACTTGCTGTGTGGTAGAGGCGGTCCCCCGGACTGCGGAGCTGCGCAGCCCAAGGGGCTGGGCCGTGGCACTGTCCTCTTGGCCCAGAGAGGGCCGGGCGGGCGGCCGCTGGAGGGGGCAGAGCCTGCAGGCGGCGGCTTCCCACCGGCTCCCCAGCCCTTCTACTGATTCCCGTCGGCTATGAAATGTCTTTTTAAAAACTCCCAATATAGAAATCTAGCTGCAGAGGCCAGTTTGTAGATCCTAGCCGCAGCTGCTGTGCTGTAATTAGCCTTATTTGATCAATTGCCAGATCCCTGCACTTGGCAAATGGCAAACCAGAGCCAGTGGGGTCAGGGTGCACCCCTGGTTGCTTCTCATGACCGTGGGTCCTGTGTAGAAAAGATGGGTCTCGTACATGGACTAGTCTTGAGTGGAGCTAATTTTCAAAGTGAGGTTATTGTTTCTCTTCTCATGTGATGAGAGAGTTCTTTCATAGCAAGTCAGGTAAAAAATTTTCCTAAGAACCTGCCCCCCCCACCCCCATTTCCAGCTCTGTGGGAGAGCGAAGCCACCACCCAGCCCAGCCACGTGGCCAATCTCAACAGCCTCCTGTGGCCAAGGCACGCGTGGCCATCAGGTATCCTGGCTACTGGACTAAGGATAAGTGAAGAGGTGAAAGGCCGAACATTAACCAGAGTTTCTGGCAAAGCCATGTGCGTCATGGGAACTTTAACACCAGCTTCTACGCCTCTATTAACTCAGAGTCTCCATCTGGAACACTTTCCGCTTAAGGCTTTTTATAAGTTTGACTCCAGCAGTGACAGGTATGTGTTGTTTTAAATCCACTAGCCATGCTCAAAAAAAAATATTCTTCATGTTTTAATTGTATACAATGGCTAGCAGGCACCTTAGTAACCAGCCAGAAATCAATTTCAACCACCATCAACCCCTAAACTACAGTACCAGGATGGCTGGCTAAAGAAAGGAAACGGACTGGCTGTAGTCTGACGCGTGCCCAGTACAAGGTGTCTGGCTGACTTTGTCCTAAATAAGGCTAACATTAGTGAACTAAGAACAGCGTCATGTGGCGGCCATGCCTGGCCTTCAGGAGCACCCCTCCCCGATGCGCTGGCAGGAGCGCCCCACTTTCCGGTCCAGTTTCACCATTTTCATGATGGCTTCCTCTCGGCCACGGCCCATGTGGTCAAACGTACAGTCATGCTGCTCGGGGAGGCGATGTAACATACAGAACACATAACCTGCAACAGTAGGAGAAGCAGAGAAGACACACTGTTAGGGTGGCCTCCAAACGCCCAAAGCCCAGCTCTCATTCTGGTCTGGAGGACAGGAGGGCAGGCGCTCCTGCTACTGAAGAGAGTTCATCAGAGTGCCACCCACGAAGGGGCCCGCACCCTCCCATCTCCCAGCTCCTCAAGTCAGCCCAGGGGCCTCAGAATGTCCAAGGGTGGCTGCTTAGAGGCTGACTCTGCATTCAACACTGCTCCTGCCTGAACCCTGAAGGTAGAACCCCAAAGATGACTGCTGCAGTGAGACACACCCCCTTCCCTAGGAGATGAGTGGGTTCTGAGCCCCCTCCTTCCCCACCAAATAGGCGGGAAGGCAGAGAGCTGCCAGCTCAGCACTCTCCCAGCTTGGGCAAACTAATATCTACCACAGGACACCCACCACTTCTAGGAGGCAGGGCGGGAGGGAGCAGAAATGATTATGGCTTAAATTACATTCTACCTCCTGTATAGTGAGGGCTTAGGGGGATGGTGGGTGTGATCAAACCACAGCCCACAAGTGAGTGGAGGCGAAAATGGATTATTTCAAGTGCTGGAAAAGGTATTACAAATAAATCAGGGAAAGAACAGAAATGTGCTCTAATCGCAAGCCATCTCAAAGGAGACTTCTAGGTTAGATGCTTCTAACTCCACCTGGTAGGTCAGGAGGCTGCAGGGCTGCTCCTCTCTTTCTGGAGCAGAGACGCCAAGGGAGACACTGCTGGGGCTGGCAGAACAAAGGACCCAGGCGTGGCCCACAGAGCAAGGAAACAGTACAGGTAAAGTCTGAGAAGAAACAGGAAGAGAGGCCCTCAGGGAATCAGCGGGAGACTCAGAGGACAAAGGCAACACAGAGCTGCCAAGGATATGGCCCTTTACCTTCCCATTCTGCTCAATTTCTAGAACTGCTGATGGATGTGTGGATGTGTGTGCAGGGGACAGACGCTGATGTCCCCTAGGTCTGTCTGTCCCTCTCTCTCGGGGAGGGGGAGGGGAGATCCAGGCTGGGCAGTCACCGGCCAGTGCTGGCTGGGCTCCTTGCCCCCGCTCACCCCATCAGTCCTATGTGGCCACACTTACAGGCCCCACAGGCCTACCCCAGGTCCACAGGACCCACCTGTAGGCAAACCTTTCCTAAACCTCCTCTCGCTGTGCGCGTGGGCAGGCATCCCATCCTACAGCAGCCCTTCCAGGCCAATGCTCTCCTCACAAACAACATCTCTTCCCAGGGACGTCTTTCTTTCTTTTCAAGACTTCTTTTACACCTAGATCTCACTGCCCAGAGTGAATGGGTAGCCACCCCTTGTAAAAGGTGTGATGCATCCATCTCTACATCCTCAATTTCTCTTATCAGAGCTGAAGAAGGGTGGAGGCAGTGATTTTAGAAGAATAGCATTAGTTGAAGCAAAGACAGAGTAGCCAGGACAGGCAACAGTTGTAAGATTCATTTCATCTAGAGAACATTCCTCAGCTGATACAGCCCTGTTCAGATGCCTTGAGCTCATACTGTGTACAGAGCACGTGCACATGGCCTGGGGGCCTGAGTGACCAGGCTGAGTCTGGACCATCCGCTGTGAGAAAACACACATTATTAACTGCTTCCCAGGGACAGCAGGGCAATATGTTTGACTCTAAATTGGGACTGGGTTTAAGAAAAAGAACAGGGATGAAATTTTTGTCTCCTGAGAAGCTGAGCTCCCACTTGGTCTAAAAGCAAAGTTAAGATTAATGAGCTCGTGTGTTATATTTACTGATAAGTTCATTACTCGAAGATATTGGACAGCAGTTGTCTTTGTCCTAAAGGACTTCCCAGCCTAAGTGTGGATGGCCTCAATAAGCATCCTCCATCTAACAAGCACAATTGTCTTTTGGAAGTGAAGCCGGGGGGGGGGGAAGGGCGCGGCGCGGGAGGAAGAATCTGCCGCTAAGTCAGGGCCTGGGGTGGGGCACCACAATATGGTGGCATGATGTGTGTGTAGAGACATTTCTGTCACCAAGTCCTGACATATTTCTATAACCTCAACATCTACAATAAGGGGTGAGAGAACCCCTGCTGCCCCTTCCTATTTTCAAGTTACTGGGATGATGTAGGAGAGGGTCCCAGGCGCTCTTCTCTGCTTCTGATGAATGGTGCTGGCTGAATCAAAGTAGCAGGAAATGGATTATCTCTGAAATTAACTCGGCCCTGGATCAGCCTAACACCTCATTAGTCAAAGGCAGACTGGGGTGGAGGGGAGAGGCTCTAGTCTTGTCCTCACTACACACTCCCATGACTTTGCTTAGCTTGCCTTCTGCCGGTTAGAGAGCCACCACCTCGGGGGATCTGAGAACCCCAGGCTCCGTCTGGAAAAGGAAACAGGCCGTGACAACCACAGCAGCTGCCTGATTCTCTCTCTCTCCCCGCCCGAGGATTCTCCAGCCAGCCAGAAACACATCATTTCTCCATCTGAGCTCTGCGCACCTCTGTTAGACACTTGGCTTTGATCTCGGAGAGGTGAAAACGAGTACATGGCAGCTGTACTTGGGAGTGGCAAGGGGAACAATTAGAATATACGGCACTGTCATTCCCTAGGGAAAAGTCTGGGCAAATTCTGGAAAGCTGGCTGCCCAAGTTGCTGCACTGAGGTTATTAGCTGGCATAAATTAAGCTCAATCCCTCTCCTGTCAGGGTCACTCACCAAAAGGAAGTTACATGCTGGAACTTGTCCCAAATGCTGAGTAGGCATTATTCACGGAGAGCAGCCAATCGGCTAAATGCATTTCGGTGTCAGTGGTGGGGAGTGGGCTGCTCTGGATACAGGGGAGGGCGGGAATGACCGGTGGGTGGGACGAATCTCTGTCCTCCTTTCTTGGTACCCACAGATCTGTTTCCAGAAACCTCTGCAGGTGTCATGAACTTTCAATTACTCTCTGATTGGATTCTTTAGACCAAGCCAGATATGGAGAAATGAGTTCAGGCTGCTGGGGAAGATGACTGTTCTTAATTTCAGTGATGAACACCATTTTAAAGCGCCTGTCTGGGATTTACAGCCCCTGTCTGGACCAGGCGATCCTCCACACCGTTCATTAGCAACCAACTGGGGCCTTTCCAGAGAGCGTCAACCAAGGCAGTGTCCGAAGGGATGAAAGCACAGAGGACAATGAACTGATCAGCTGAGCGGCAGTATGGGTTTGGTATCATCACCCGAGGTACCATGCAATTCTTTTCCCCCTGATTTAAAGAAATTATAGACCAAAATTGAATTCAGTCGCTCATTTGCATACATACAATCCATAGCCACACTCTCCTTATGGCCCCATAGTTCAGCATCATGTAGTTTGGAAAATAATTTCAATATACTTTTGCCTACAAGAGCTACATACCACATAACTACTTCAGAGGGATGAGGAGGGGTGGAGAGCATGATTAAAAGGATGCTGGTCCCCAACAGAGAAGGAAAACACCCAAAGCAAAAGTTTTGGAAAATATGATCTGCCTGCTAAATGTGGCTTAACCTCAGCCCTTTCCTTGCCATGTCACATGGCTGGCCACCCTACTCCTTAGAGCCCCGGATTACTGGTTTTCCATGACATTCTGGCCTGGAAGGGCCACAGAGGCAGCCACAGAGCTCCTATAAGGCAGCCAGAGTTGTTTTCAATAAATCTGCACAAAACACTCAAGAACTTGTGTGGGCATTTCTTTGTTTGCTGGCACTGAGGAGCAATTTGGGATGAGCCCTTGATTAAAAAGGGAAGGTGAAGAAGGCTCTATGAGCACTTTGTTCCATGGCCTACCCTCCTTCCATGCATGCCCCTCTCCACTGGCCACTCCCTGGGCTTCTGACAGGCCATCCAGCGTGTAGGAAGAGGGACAGGAGGCCGACCACAGCAGGTGATCCCAGTCAGCCCCTCCCTACGAGCCTGAGCTGGAAGGTCTCCAGCAGCTACGCCCTCAATCTGAAAAAGTCTTCTTCAACTAAGCAGGCAGCATCAGGAGAGAAGAGGCTGCCTGCCTAGATGGCCATGGTGGCTGACCTACCCTGGGCTCATCCCAGGGTGCTGAAGCCTGGGGCTGTGGACAGTGAGAGATGGGGAATACCAGAAGCTTCCTTAAGTCTGTCACTATCACAGACACAGGATTATGACATAAGGCAAGAAACCATAATTTAGGGACTATCTAACCCCCTCAGTCCAGAAAGGGTTTCTCCCTCACATGACATGAGAAATACAGAAGTCAGCATTCAGGTCACTTGCCCTAAACAGAGAAGCCGGGGGGCATCTTGTGGGAGGATAGGCATTTTAATGGAAACCACACCTCTGGACTCAGCCCTCCGGATGTGGACCTGGGGCCTGCGGCAGCCAAGAGCCATAGCCACATCAACCTGAAGACACCCAACACCCAACGGCCCTGAAAACACATTCTCAGCACAAAACAGAACTGAGGCTCATTTCTCTAAGATTCACAAAGACCTGAAATACAGGTTTCTAAAGATGCTCATTTTGTGGGAACCAAACTTCCGACCTGACCCTTCAGCTTTTAAAGCTAACATCTGGAAGTCATATTGTTCATCCTGGTGCCCTCATCCACAGTTAAAACCTCACATCTGCGTACACAGGGAGGGGTTTGGGTATTTTGAGACTAAACACACAGGACCGAGAACAATTTGCACAAATGCCATTATCAAAGATGACACACAACACTTTGCTCTAAGTGCTATGAAAGTTGTAACACTGTTTCCTGTTTCACTCACTCCACAACAATCACTGACCAAGAGGAACACTGGGAAGAAGGCCCCCCCAAGACCCTGTGTTCTTTACCTCTCAGTAGTGCTGGCAGGCAGGGCCCTGAGGGCGGCTGAACCAGAAAACTGCCTCACCTGCCAGCTCAGTCCTTCTGCTGCTCCCCACCCACAAGCCAGGAGACATGCCTAATGTACTGGGGGACAGGGCAGGTGGGTGGAGGAGCTGGGGGCAGAGGGAGGGAGGCAACCTTACAT